AAAAAAAAAGAAAAATTTTCCAATGAGCTAACAGAATTCTTCATTTTTCAATTCAAGCTCACCTTTGCCATGTGGCACCGAATCATRGTGACTATTCACCAGCAAATACGAAGTGCTATTTGACTCCTTCGGCGCAATTTTAATTATAAAATTCTGTATACCTTGATACATATTCACCATATTCCAGTGGCAATAGCTACCAGAAGCTAACTGTATATCACTTTCAATGTCATATATGGGATTAGCTTCAGCTTTCAGTGTTGTCACGTAATTTTGAAAATATTTGATAGCACCTTCCTCATTCGCCTTGCTACCCACCACACGAGGACCTAACGCAGTGAGTTTTCTCAAATTCTGTTCGGCTCTCTCCGCTATAAAACGATCCGGATAACGGGCTTCATCCGCAATATTAATCGGTTTGGGCAGGCGATGGTAGGCGGGTATGGAAATGCAAAAATAGAGTAGCGCCCAAAARCTGAGGAAGACCGGTGCCCAATACCATTTGATTTTGCCATGATCAACGAAGAGACGCTGCCAACAATTTCGGGTCTGCGGAAAAGTATTATGAGAAATAATGCATCAGAGAGTTGTATTGGACATTTTTTGTTGTACATTTTTATTTTGARTTCTTTCCAATATGTTTGTCTATARATTTGTGTTGAAGGTCTAGTGTTTGTAACTCAACTAACCTTGAYGCCATAACCTTGTTTTCTTTCGTTTTATAGTCGGTTTAGTTTTCGTCGCTTATATTTTATGCATCTAAATGCACGGACATTATTTATCAGCGGTCATAAATTTTTAACTAATCATATATCTTATCTGGCATTGCCATTGATTAATAATATTATGTTAGCCAGTTCATGTGCWTGTAGTCAATTGAAATGTTCTATTTTTGTTCTATTGCTGTGAAAGTGCGCTTTATGGAATTCTAAAATTTTTCTAGCAAAACTCATATAACCTTCTGATAAGATTTCAAACAATGCGGCTACTGTGCCCTATTTATGTTTGCAACTCAAGTCATCATAAATACTCGTCTGCTATACACGGTAGCTATSTTCCTGAATATTGGTTATTTTTTTTATCGGCGGGCTTAGTTGCGATTTCGTTGCTRTTTTGGTAATGTTTCTGTACCGCATTAATTATCGTTTTTACGTAAGATCAACAGTTCTAGGCACAAAGAGAGGTTGTCATTCTAGCGAGTTTTGAATCAACTCAGCCAAAAAAAAAAAATTGTTTGAAAAATTATTTCAAGGAAAGATACACCGACCAAATCAATATTGAGATTTCTTCGGTATGACCTTCATATGAAACCCTAATTTGGRTCAGCTGATCATTTTCTGAAAACGGGTTTGAAGTAAATTAAGTAAACATAAGCTGGTTTTTCATGCCACTTACTCAATGGCCATGGAAGTTTTCTTTATACAGATGAAAAATTTATTCCTTTGCAGAAGTTTTTATCAAGAAGAAAAAAATGAAAATACGTAAGATCTTCTAAATTCACCAAAAAATGTTATTTTAAGTGTTCAACATGGTCGCCATTTTACTTCTGAATTGCTAAGTGCAGAATGTTTTAGAAGGCGYAGTAAAGTAGTTGAAAAATTCTTTCTTCGATGGAGAGCAAGGGCTCTTGCTCCCCGTGGTCGAGCTTCTATACTGATTTGGACTGATGACTAGGGTTTCATAGCTACAGATGATCGGTCGTTTGGAAGTTCTGACTTGTACCCATAATACTACAGTGTGTTGACAGAGTGGGAGAAKATAGCTTCTCGAATATTCAGCAGAAATTTAGAAAGTCTCAAATCATGTTTGACTCGAGCAGTCGTCAATTCAAATAGAAACTGTGCGTGATGCTATTCTCCAATGACCGGATCGTTTGTGGGCTCACTTTTTGTAAAATCGATGTGAAATTCTTCACACGTCCTTTATTCTTCTAAATTCATTAATTTTGCTTGTCGAAACCGACGGTAGCGGACCATTATAGCATATGGCTGTCATTCAAACTGACCGAACAAAATCAAGATTAATATCTTTCTATGCTTGAAGAAATGCACGTGTGAAAGGTATTAAGCATGTTATCGTTTTCTTGATTCGCGTATCACTGAAATCATAACAGTATGGTTTGTATGCATAATATTCCATAATATTTTATGGAGGTGACTCCTGTTAATTGAAATTGAAAAAATCATTGTGAGAAAATAACACATATGTTAAGTTCTGATTTAGAAGGCATGAACCAGGTAAAAATCTTCATTTGCCTCCAATCCCACGACAGTCGGGTCTTCAGCAACTTTTAAATTTAACAAGTAAGAAAGAACTAAGGTTGGGTGCAACGGAAAACTTTATACTCTTGCAATTTGCAGGATTCAAAGCCAGGAAAAATAYCTTAAAGTGTAAAATGCCAACCAGAAGATCGGAATCYAARCATTTTTATTTTATTTCTGTAGCAACATTTTGCAACAGAGTATAAAAAGATCGCTCTGATATTGTGATGATGGATGTTGCCGTTATACAGTTCGAATATCTGAACTAAATATTTTATATTCATGTGAAATGTTAATTCAAATTTGTCATATTAAGTGGATAGTAAGCAGATATGCTCACTTGAATACCTAAAAAAAATTGGCTAATGCTAGGATTATTAATTTTTTTTCACTTCCATTCTTTTTTTTATTCTCTTTAAATTAAAGTATCTTATATTTAAATTTAGTAATAGTTTTTGTCAAAATTTTTTTCAGTAACTCATAGAAAAAAGCTTTCGTAATTTTCTCGATAAATGACTTTGATATCAGTTAGATGAATCAATTTACACCTCAAATTTAATATCATATTTACACCGAAAAGATGGTATAAACACACCTACATATCAATAGAATGGTAAAGCCGACAAATTTGTGTCATAAAGAGCAAAGCAATTTTTTTCGGGGAATTTATTGTGTTACTATGATTCAGCAAACTAATAACTCAATCAAAGGCCACGGTATTTCAAATCAAACGGCTTCATTATCATTGAATGTATATATATATACGTGCTATATGGACATATAAATCTAATATACGGTCACCAGAGCTAAAATCAAATAAGTGCACACCATAACCTCAATGATAAATAATTGGAGAAAAAATACATAAACATACTTATATTTATTGACTAAATTGGTAAAAAATAACACATAAGCATACTTATGTTTATATAATATTGATTTACGCATATCATTTCTYMWTTTTKKKKTTWMMWTTTTTWACCCAACTCACCCAAGAAATAAAAAAAAAAACGACTAAGGTATTAGCGCCTTATCAGATTTATCATCAAAAGAATGGTGATAAACACTTGGCTGKTTGAATAACTTTTTGCGACTTCTGTTATCGGTTTGTTCTTAATGTTTTTTTTTTTATTGCAAAAACAATTTATGATACACTTTACTAAGTCCAAAGGTGGTTGAGATTCGGAGGTTTGCATAGTTTTGGTATGATATACAAGTATGTTCTTCAGAAAGACAAGCGTATACTAAACACTAA